GACAGTCGTTTATGCATCTAGTTCAGGGTATTAGAATGTGAGATAGAGCATATAGGTAGCCATGTGAGATTTGAGCCTGCTCGTTTCTTTCTTGTGCGATAGATCCCTCTTCCATGATGTGTAGCATTCACGTTGTCACTAGCTAAGATGATGGGGGCATAGGATTAGCCCACGACCAAAATTGACTGTCCTGATGTGTCATATCCCCTAGTCAGCCCCTTTGAGCCGTGTGTTATCCTTTCTTTTGGTCTATAATGAAAAAAATCACCCTTGTTGCATCTTCTAGAAGGTTCCACAGATTGGTTTTTACATATCCCCTGTTGTTTCTGTTAGATTGAATGTGAGTGTTGGAGGTAGTGCTTAAAAGTTGGGCAGATGTTTGAAATATGTGCAGAAGTGGTGGCTCTCTTAAGAAATGAAAAGAAAAATGAAAGAAAAACAAATAAAAATTGAAAGCAAAAGAGAGCCACTACCAAGAATCTGAATAATGCCCATTAAGTAGTGTTTCTTAGCAGTCTGGCTTGGAAATGCTGATGTATATGCCTCCTTCGCTCTTGCGCTCTTGAGATGTTGAGTATTGCAGAATAGCAGAAAGGGAATACCGGTTTGTTTGACTGTGATTGTGTGGGTTTGGAAATGTGGAACCTTGTGCTATGAATACTTCCACCACATAAAAGGCCTTTTCCCCATGTCCAAGACCCTAGCCAGTCATTTGAACCTGTGTCTAAGACCTCCTGATTAGTTAGTGATGACATCCTATATGTGAACTCTAGCATTTAGAGGCTGCCATCATGGTGAAGAGATGTTAGGGATTGAGAGAAATAGCATGCGCATTTTTCGCATTAAATTGTCCTGACCCCACTGGTCGAGAGTGAGTGATTCATTTTCATATTCTTTATACTCTTGTACCCCAGTGAGGACCTAGATTGCTCGGTCTCTGTTCTGATGTCTTGAGTTGGATGCATGAGTTGACTATTTTGAGTGAGTGGTTGAGTCAAGCCTGGTTGGTTGGTGAACAGAAGGGAGACTCTCCCGTTGCTTGATTTTGCTGCACTCGAATGTCCTTTGTGGTGGTTGTCCAGGTTGCTATTGAAGTTGTTCATGTGTTGATGTTTGAAAACCAGTATGATTCACGTGTTCTGTGCCTTTATGACTTGTCCCCAATGTTGTTTGATTGAAATATGTGAGCTTACCTTGTGTGGTACTTGGTTTGCTTGGGGACAAGCAAACAGTTAAGTGTGGGGGAATTTGATAGCATCGTATTTGCACGTGTTTTCACTCTGGTTTCCTGTCCATTTTTGCTCGAATTGATTGTTCCTTGGCCTATTTTACGCTAGGTTGTGTTGTTTTGTCGTATTTCAGGTCCTAGCAAGTAAAGAGGTGCATAGGCGCAAGTTTCGGGTCATTTGGAGGTCAGATGGTGATTCACAGAAGGAATTACGGGCAGCCCCTGCAAAATTACGACCGTAATTTGTCAGGGTATGCCCGTAAAACAATTGCCGAGCCTTTCCCCAAAATTTCTTCTCGGTGCTAAAATTACGGGCAAGACCCCCAAGAATTACGACTGTAATTCCTAAAATACTGGCGGTAATTTGGAAATTACGGGCGTATCTCCTCCTCCTTCAGCTTAATTGAAACGTGCGTTTTGGGGCGAATTACGAGCAGGACGTGATAACGGCCGTAATTCAGCCCGTAATTCGCCCAGAGTCGGGTTTTTGGAGGCAGATTCGAGCCAAGGAAGAGGGATTCGAGTTTCTAGAGCAAAAACAGAGTTTTAGAGAGAGAAAGAGCGAAGAACAAACCCTAGGAGCTATTTTGGAGTGGATTTCTCACCATTGAAGCCCAGATTGCGTCCCCAGGAGTGAAGATTGACATCCCAGAGCAGATTTTCCTCATCTTTATGAGTATGACTACTCTGATTTCTGTTTTCCTTTCTCTCTCTATGGAGTAGAACCCTTCTCTCACTTGGGTATGAAGAACCCTAGTTCCTTGTGTTAGGGATTTGATTGTAATAACATGGGATGATATTACTGTTTGATTTTAATCGAATGATGCATGTTTATTGAATTGATTGAAGTCTGATCAGCTTTTCTTGATTTCTGCTGCAACCTGAGATAGATAGAATTTGATTAGGTTGTTAGAGCCTCTTCATTCGATAGTAGGAGATTGGCTATACGAGAGTTAGCCAGTTTACTGCTTTGTACTGGAATTCAATTCCAGTAGTGGAGTTCTGTGTTCATAGCCTCAGCTTTCTATCCCGGTGAAGACTAGTCGTCTGCCGGGTAGTTAGACTGAGAGGGCTTGGTCAGCTTAAGAGATTCCAAGCTACTATCGGAACTTCCGCAGTCTAATCAACAGTGAATCAACCCAGGGGAATTACAATTGGACCTAACTAAGGGGCTAGGGGGACTCAATCCCGAGTGACTCTTTCCTGACTTTGAAAACCGAACAATTTACTGCTTTCTTACTGCTTTTGCTTTAAACAACAATCACTCGAATTAGTTTGCTAGATAATAGATAATCACGGAGTAAGCAGTAGATCTAGACCCCGGGTTGATAATTGAACTTGCCTGTTACTGCATTCCCGGACTGCGATTACACTTGGTCGCAGCTTGGTGTTGTGTTTTAGCGTGTCAGCCGCCGAGGCGAAAGGCGGTGGTGTAGCATCGTCCGTGGTGACATTCTCGTCCCGGAAGATCACACACCATCTCGCCTCTTTCTGTTCCAACTCCGAGTCGACTTCTCTGTCTCTCTCAAACCCAGCGCGGCCGTCGGATTCAGGTTCGCGAGTATCCTCGCCAGCAGCTATGGGGTTGAAGCTTGTTCCTCCTGGGTCGAAAGATACTTCTGGAGATGAGCGACTGTCATTGGAATTTGTTCCCTTCCTTTCCGCAGGCGATGGCGTTCTAAGCGGCTTGGGAAGTTCAGCAAGGCCACCTAAAACCAGGGCGATGGTGGTTTTTATGCAGGAAAGACAACTGTTGTTGTTAGCTCCTCCATCGTCGCCATTGTCACCCTCCATGGCGGTTCACTCGCCGTCTTCTCCAGCTGTGGCTGTTCGGTGATGGTGGTGGGTGCCACCGCAATTGGAGTCAAATTCTCCGCAGGATTCAATTCTTCCTTGGCAGCGACTTCTTCTTCGTCGTCCCACCAGTCATCATTATCATAGTCATCCCACTCGAACGACGCCAGATGTGTCAGCAGTCGATCCATCTCGGCCTTCCATCTTCGTGTAGATTCGGCGAAGTCCCCGGTTGAGGGTTGCGATGAACTCATAATCGTAACCGGAGCTCTAATACCACTATTAGAAACCCGCTTATTAGGGTTTCTAAAGATTGACGTAATCGGAAAGATAGAAAGAGATTTAGGGATTGAAAATAGAAATTAGGGTTTGGAAGAAGAATATGGGGAAGAACAGCAAGAACGGCCTAAGCCTTTGGAGAGAGAGGTAGACGAGATTGAGAGAGAAAGAGATTAGGGTTTCGGGAGGTAGTTCTTTTATTAATCTTTGCTTAATCTTTTTTTTATAGTCTTTGCTTAATCTTGATGAAAGAACATGCATACATATTTATAGGAAAATACCGAAAATCCTAGTAATAAAACTAATGAAACCCTACTACTAATTAGCCGCCACTCCCCATAATTACTAATAGCAATAATAATAAAATCCTTAATAAAGTGGGTTTCTAACAATGTCACCCAGTTCTGTGATCTGAAAACCCTTGCGTAGCTTCCACGCCTTTGCTAACGCTATTTTCATTGACTTGATGTTTGGTTCTTTTTCAGATAGGAGGCATCCAATCAGCCCCAGACGATGTACTACCTCCATGCGGAGCACATCGACGTCAGTGTCTTCAACCTCCAACGGTTCATTATCCTCATCTTCCAAAGTAATCTGGTGCATCTGTGTCTCCAGATCCACAGTGGCCTGGGGTTCCTTGCTTGTAGCCGTATCCTTCACCGCTTCCTCCATTGCTTCCATTATGTAGCAATATCTCCACTCTCACTCGTAACAACTGGTTAACCAACCTTCTTGCACGGAGTCGTTACTCCAAAAACCTAAGATTTCTTGCTATGGTTTTCCTCGTAACAAAACACTTGTAGCGAAACTAGCTCGATGCACAACGCTTTCTGTCCTCCTCTTTAAATAGCCAGACCCAAAACTCCGCTTTCACAATCACAATCTATGTAAAAAAGGACTTCTTTTTCACAAAGGATCAGTAATCCGCACAGAGATCGAGAAGAAAAACCTTAATTCCACCCGGAAAACCCTAGGGTTTCCGCCGCCCTTAGACTCTCGCTAAACGAGAGAGTTTTCAAAACTAGAGCAATGGTTCCTTGTAAAATCTTTTGGTATGTGGTATATCACTAAAAGTCGTGTGCGCCTGTTTTGTTCCAGATATGCAAGGTGCATTCATTCTATCTCTACAGGTACATATTTAGTTATCTTTCAACTATTCTGACTTGTAATTGATTCGTCCCGGTGGGTTGATTTTGATATTATGTTTGTAAATTACTAAGATATGTAATAAAAAATGCAGTACCACCTGTGCGTTACGCCCGCCTGATTGCATCTCGAGCTCGATACTACATAGAGGGATCCTCATCAGATGAGAGGAATGCAACGAAGATGGCCAAAAAGTTCCAACCCTTCCCAAAGATCATTGACAATGTAAAGAACGTCATGTTCTACTGCTAGGTATAGGGGGTTTTTTTAATGCAAAGGAACCAATGTACAGAGGGTTCTTTCTTTGGCAAAAAAAAAAAGTACAGAGGGTTCTTTCTAGAGCTTAACCATGTAATTATCACTTAATCTTATCACTTACGTTCATTTATAAGTCAGAAATATACTTTCTTAAAACTCCAAGTCATAGGAAAAAAAAAATCAAGTACCCTACAGCTAATTCTAACTTCCAGTATTTGTTGCTTACTATTTAGTAACCAGACATTATTTGAATGTGTTTGGAGTATATTTTAGACTACCAACTTGACTTTCAATGGTTGAAGTAATAATTGAAAATTAATAAGGATAGCAAAGTAATTTTAGATTTTAAATACATAAACTCGACAAAATAAAATGCATGATCAAATCCAACCAACAAAAATTAAATTTTCAAATCCATAACGTCCAAATCCATATTAAATCCTTCATATTCCATATTCCATATTCAGGTTTTGATCACAGAAAATTCAACAAGCAAACCACATAAGTTGTAGACTTGTAGTAGAAAACTCAATCTTGTTTGGTGTCTTTCCCTTCCCCATCGCCACCACCTTTTAGGAACCTCAAGAACCAGTATGCAGAGGATTTGGGGTGGCGAGACAGCACCCCGTTCTTGTAATCCACATACACTATTCCGAAACGTTTCGTATAGCCTTGTGCCCACTCGAAATTGTCCAGCAACGACCATGCAAAGTACCCTTTCACGTTCACTCCATCCCTTATTGCCGCAGCTACAGATGAAAGGTACCCTTTGAAGTAGCGGACTCTCAGCTTGTCGTCCAGCATTTCGTCCAGTGGGGCATCTCTCTCTTCATCATCCATCCCTGGCGTGTGTTACAACAAACAAACACTGTTAATAAGATCCAGCATGACTAAGAGTTTGGTTGTCATTTCATACAGCTGATCTCGAGTATGTTACCGTTCTCTGTGATGTATATTTTCGGGGAGTTGTATGTCTTTGCCATGTAGTTTAAGACCTTCCTCAGTCCCCATGGGCAAACATAAAGCCAATCCGAGGCCGCCTGTACAGCGTAACGTCATCGCCTAAGTATGTTAGTGAACGAATTGAATATAGATGCCTAAATAGTCACTGAACTGTAGTGTGTGTAACATATTTGTTAACGTTACCTAGAAATCTAATGAAACAGTCACTTCTAGGCCTGACTTAATCGAACTAACGACAAACTAGACAGAATGAAATGAGTGGCTGTTTTGTTATGAATCACTTAATCTAGTTACATTTTTGGTTTCGGTGATCAGTAGTTCAGTGGCCATTTAAGCATTCAAAGCATTGACCTTTATTCTACAAAGAGGGTCAGAGATGCATACCCTTTCACCAATTGGCTCACCTCCTTCCCACTCATCTGATGTCACAAATCACAAATGAGAGTAATCAATTAGCGCGAGAAAAGAGCTCTTCGCCATATCAGATCACATAACCAATGCAATTGACTTATTACCAATTCTCTTCATTGCCTGTGCTCTGTAGTAGTAACTTGGCTCATCACTATCGGGTGCATGAGTGATGAACCTTGAAGTATAGTGATTTAGACCAATGAAATCCATCGAGTTCTGAAGCAACTCTTGTTTCTCTTCATTTGTAAACTCAGGCAGCTGATCTCCAAGAATTTCACGCATACTACTGGGATACTCTCCATAGTACAATGGGTGCAAGTACCTGAGACATAACAAACAAAGAATGGCATAGAAAGTTTGAGTCCCATCATACACACAAGTATAACTATAATTGGCCCAAGAAATTTTAAAGAGCACTTTACCATCCAAGCTGAAAGTCAAGGCGCCTGGCTGCAGCAGCTTTGTTCTCTGGAGTGTTTGAGTTAGCTTCTGCCCATTCACAGTCCACCACCAAACCTATCTGTCCTTTTTGCTTCTCCTGAATAGCATGGTGTAATCAGAAAGCCATAATGATAACTAGCCGAACAAACTATCGTAGTACGAGATTCCAACTTTTGGGCTTGCAATTGAATTAGCCTTGTACCTTATACTTTCTTCGGTATACAGAAACAGCAGCTGAATGGGCCAAGATTTGGTGATGAGATGCCACATATGGTTCTGTTTTGGGTTTCTCACATTTTCCAGGTGCAAATATCCCACTATCATGACCATTAATTGCTGTCTGGAGTGGTTCATTAATTGTGATCCAATTCTTAACCCTATCACCAAAGCTTTCAAAGCAAACATCTGCATACTTGGCAAAGTACTTCCTGCAACCATTTCAAAAGTTTCTGAGTCTAAATCCCACACCCTATGTACAGAAATGGAAGAAACATTTGTGAACCAATGTCTAAACGCTTACACGATATCTTTACTTAACCACCCATCGATAGCTTCTTGGAGGTGCAGAGGAAGATCCCAGTGATATAATGTTACATACGGCTCAATGCCTGCACTCAAGGTAATCGACTCATCAGATTGTTACAAATGACAAAGAAAATCTAGCGAGATAAAGATTTCATATATTACCCTTCTCTAAGAGACCATTTATAAGGTTGTTGTAGAATGCAACCCCTTCATCATTCACTCTATCTCCAGTACCATCTGCCAGCCACAAGTGGAAATTATTACAGAGTAGTAAACTACTTTGCACATATAACGGAAAAATGTAGATCCACTGCAAAGTAATAAGAGTATGAAGAACATATTTACCAGGTAATATCCGAGACCATGACAGGGAAAACCGATATGCCCCAAATCCCAATTTAGAAATCAGTTCAATGTCTTCCTGTATTGGCAACAAGTGGAACGAGGTTAAATGGTAGACTGGATTACAGTGAACCCGCCTGCATTAATCACACCGAAACTTGACATCGAGACATCTAACTTCATCATCACTAAACTCAGTGCCAATTTGGGGTTAAAGGGCTGCTACAACAGCAACGTAATGGCAAGAAAACTGAAGAATGAACCGAAGGAGTAACTGATTACAAAAAAGTGACAAAATTGGCAAGATACAAAAGGTGGGAGTAAACGGTGAGACCTTGTAGCGATGGTAATGATCCACAGCCACATCACCATTGGATCCATCCAGTGTAGTCCCTAAGGACGAACATAGAAGTAAACTAAGTAAGCGTTGCAGAGTTAACAAAAATGGAGGGAATATGCAACTTGCAAGGAGCAAAGAGAGAGAGGGATAGTAATAGGGAGAAACCAGGAATGTGGGTGAACGCATCCCAAATGCTTGGCCCCTTACCACCTTCATTGGCGCCACCTTCAATCTACAACCACACAAGAAAAATCCAAACAAAGCGATCGGAAAACGCCAATCGTCATTATCATATTAAGGAAAGCAGTTAGCTTTGATTGAGATGAGAAAAACCCAGTAAAGGAAGAAGGGCGCACCTGATAGGCAGAAGTGGCAACTCCGAAGACAAAATCAGGAGGGAAATCGTTGCGGCAAACTCCTCCTTCCTTTTCCTCGGTGCTTTTGCTTCCGCTGCTGCTAGACAAAGCAGTTACATTGCAGAGGAATTCCTCCTTCCTCATTTCTCCGAGCTCCCAAAATGTTTCTCTGTGGTTTCAGATGTGGAATGAGGACACAATCATCATCTTTAAATTCTCCAAATTAGCAGATCAGTTAAGTGAACTTCGGCAACGTAAAATCACATTAAGAGGCTATCGGTTTAGTTTTTAGTGATAGATTCGTTAAAGAACGAACTTGGGTGGCTGATGTGTTAGTGATCACAGACTTCAGTGGCCGTTTCTGCAATCTACCCTCACAGACAGGCGACCTGATTGATTTGTCGGCTAAAATCTAAATGCCATTCTAATATTTTATCTTATCCCCCGTCTACCCATCTTCTTAGTTCTTTTCCGGACTCTCTCTCTCTCCCTCTCTCTCTTCAACGCCGGTGGCTTCCATACTCTCTCCTCTCCATTTTTCCCCCCTTCTTTCCTGACTAGATCAGGTTCTCCATTTTCAGATCTGGGTTTCTCGTATAAATTCTTAGACCGTTGGTTTGTACATGGGAGCAGATTTATCTACTTTCTTTCCCAATGTTTCTTCTTTGAGCTCGCCGTCGGTAGCAAACGGCCGGCGGTGAGAATGGTGATGATCGGTGTCCCTGACTCCCTGTTGCCAAGTTCCAACACTAACATTTTTCCCCAGATTCACTTTTCTTTAAAAAAAATGGAGGTTGCCTTATCTCTCTCCACTATTTTACAAAAAAAAAAAAAAAATTACCAACCATTTGCCTTATCTTTTTCCCATTTTTTTCACATGCGTGCGTTATAGAGTGGCCTCATCAGTCTATCATGATTTGGTTGGTAGACTAATAATGAATTCCATGAATTGGGTTTTCAAAAAAAGAAAAGAAAATGAGTAGAAAATGATAAAGTACTTAATTAATTAACAGTTAGTTACTATGTAATAACAAGATCATATTCTGTTTAGAAGAATATATAATTAGGGAAGAAGAGGCAATTACCTGCTTGAAGCCTTGAACTGTTTCTGTAATCTTCACTTTGACCTCTTTCTGGCCTTATTAGTGGCTACTAATTACTAAACAGAGCCAAATTAGAGCTCTCTAAACTTGGGGTTTATGGCAAACCATGCGTGTTAGTGTTTAGGAGAGGAATAGGAAGGAAATATCTTTCTGTCTGTGTGTCAATCTGAAGGTTCCTTCGACTGGTTTTATAGCAGAATCCCCACAGGGCAAAAAATTAATTGCAATAATTGACCCACTGTCCTTTTGTTGTGTCCACTCGTGACGTGTTCGAGGCAGGCCCAAGTGGCTTCCGACTGAGCCTCAACTTTTCTATTGGGCTTGTGATGTTATTTTGCTTTTTAGAGCCCGTGGACATTGGAAATGGTCCACTGGACCTATAATGAACGAACAGGCTGAGTTGTGTACAATGGTGAAAATCAGTATGGTATCAGTATTTATTATCAAACTAAGGGGTCGTTTGGAAGTTGCGATTGTTTTGTTGAGATTGTCATTATGCATGTATTGTTTACAATGCATCGTTTTTTTGTTTTTTTAGCAGAAACAATACATTGATTGTTTCTGTGATGTGACAGAAACTATCACTCATTTTGAGTGATTGTTATATCTCAACTTTTAGTTGTGATTGTTGAGATAGTTGAGTTGAAATTGTTTTGTCTCAGCTTTTAGCTGATGCGACATACACAATCACACATACCAAACGTTGTATTCTACAATGCATCAAATTCGACAATACATGTATAATATTATACATGCATTCTCAACAATACATCTATTTAACAATCGCAACTTCCAAACGACCTATAAGTTTTGCCCGACCCGTTGATCGGATGAATTCATTTTATTTGTCATTTTATGATAATCACTTTATTAGAGCTTTGATTCTAGAACGTCATGTTGTTTTTTCTTGTTTCACCTGCACATGCTCGCGCGGATCTTTCTAGGTTTGTTAGTCCTTCTTAGGTCAAGCCAGGATATGCTCTACAGATTTAAGTGGTATTTCCAGTTTTAGAGAGAGAATACAACTTGCTTAAATGCTCTTACCTGCTCTCTATTTATCAGAGCATTAAATGTCTTATTTCCCCAAATGGGCATGCGCCCCGACCAACGCTATTGATCACACACACCGCCATAAAGGCATATGCGCCAAACTATCAGTATCAGTATTGATTTGGACAGACACTTACTTTGTCGTCATGCGCCTCCGAGTAGGGTTTTTCTCTTTGCCTAGCCCAAAATAAGCATGGTTGGTTTTATTCTTCCTGAACTCACTCTTTCATTGATGCTATGTTAAGTGTGCCTAGCCTCATGTATCAATCTCCCCTAACACAATTCATTCATATTTTCAAATTATTTTGGGTACGCTCAATTGTTTACTAAAGAGTCGAAAGTATGTTTGTACTACTTGATACATGTATTATTAACTGGAAAATACAAATAATATTAACTTGTTTCTTTATTAAATCCTAACAGAATTAAGACAATTATACATTAAAATAGTAATTAAAAACTTCAAACTATTAGCCTATCGCTAATATGGAAGCATAAAATTCACCATCTAAAAGGTTTAAACTTTATAGTCAACAATCATCTAAAAGGATAACAGTTAAGAACACATAAATAATTAAATATTAATTTATTAGTAACTAATATATATCTTTAAGAAGGTTGGGAGTTGTTAAGAGCTAACATTAATATATGATGATAATTTGGGTATTATAATCTTCAAATTTCAAATCTTCTAAATATTTTTTTTTAGAATTTTGATTAAACAAAGCACATGGCTCAAACATAAAATCAATTATTGTGAAAATCGAAAAGATCATGCTTTCTTGAAAAAGAAAATCTTTGAAATTTAAAATCAATATATAGGGCATTTATATAATATGAGTTTAGTGTTGCATTTGATATATAAAACCAACAACTATGATATTTGTTAAATCACACATTTAGAGATCATAAAAATGTACATTAAAATGTGGATCAATGGGTAAAAAACTTTTTTCAAATTTATCGTCTAATGATTTAGAAATCTTGTCCAGGAGTAGAGATATAGATTGGGTGGGTTCGTTGCTACTTTCATGTTTTACCGCCCTATTCTCTCTCCCTTCCTTCCTTCAATTATATCTAATCTCACCCGAAATAACATGGGGTCCGGATCTCAACCTCTAGAAGCAGACGAATTTGTTCTACTGAATCTTATATTAGCTAAAATAAGAAATTGAATCATGGGGAAGGTATAAGAAAATTTTAGAATATTTTGATTGATGGTGATCTTGCTTCATTTATTAGATGCTAATGTGTATTGAAGGATGGTTTTACAACTTGCTTCTTATTTTCAGTTTAGTTACTATTGATTTCGTCGTATGTTGAAGCAATTTATTATGCATTGTCGTTACCCAATTGAAAGAACTATGTCATATGTTCTATTGAACTCAAATATGCTGCTAGATGGGAGCCAACATTTGTTTGAATTTTATTGGGTGAGAGATGGAGAAGAAGCGAAAAAGAAAGATAGAAAATGGGTTGGAAGGAGAGGTTATGTGACTATTCATTTGTCTCTCTTAATTTTCCTTTATTGTTAGTGAATATTTTCCTTCTTTCCGTTTCTTTCTTTTTTATTTAACTTAATTAGCGTAAGACGCAAAAAAACTCCAAGTTGTCAAGTTAACACAAAAATATCACGTTAGTGTATCCAGTTTATATAGTCAACATAGGTACGATGGTGGTGTTAAGTTTAACATATTTCATGTATGGAATGACTATATTTGTAGTATAAAACTGACTACTTTTGTCACAAGAGCACTTCTACTATGCTATATAGCATCGGTGCTTTAATGTACAACTTAAAGTTGTACCATAACATTAAATGTATAAGTTTAGGTTGTACCATGAAGGAATTTGTATCATTATGTTCTGGTACAACTTTACAACTTGAAGTTGTACAATAAAATAAAAGTACAAGTTCAAGTTGTACCATAAAAGAATTTGTACAAAATGTATAGGTACAATCTGAAGTTGTACCATAACGTTAAAGGTACAATTTCATATTGTACCATAAAGGAAAAAGACTATAGCACCAATGCTATATAGCATTGTAAAACTCCTCTTGTCACAAAGGTCGACGTGTTGGTTATGCACATGTATTTTTCAAGTATTGAAACCATACCGTACCGGCGATTCAACCAGAATAACTCATACCGAAAGCAAAACCAGTAGGCGATATTTAGCGGTATGAAATGGTTGAACCATGATTAAACCATGGTTTCAACATAAAATACTTCACTGACTTTTCCGGTACACCTTTTCAATCCTTGGTATTTGTCTAAACTAAACAACACGTATAAGTAAATATTTAATAATCAAATCAGTGTTACTTGAGTTTTGATTTCAGGATTAATTTTATTCTATAAGATATCACTAACTTTGAATAAAATATAAAACATCATATACCAAATATGTCTCTAGTGTTTAATTAAAGAAATTGCAACAAATACAATGTAGTTTAGTTGCTTTTACTTTTATATTTCTATATGGATGATACAGATTTATCCTTTGTAGTCTAGTTGTTTATAACATATAATACTTTTTCTTTATTTGACTATTTGAGTAACATGATTTCAAATTTCAATAATCAACTTTTTAATATATAAACAAATGATATAAAAATTACGAGTAAATTACACGTTTGGTCACTCAAATTATACAAATCTTTCACGTTTGCCACCCAAATTATTTTTCTTTCTTGTTCGCCACTAACTTTACAAATCGTTTCACCATTAGTCACCGGCCATTACACTCCGTTAAATTTGTCCTACGTGGCAGTCAACTATAAAGTTTGACCGTTAACTAGATGACGTGGAAATTAAAAAAATTAATTATTTTTCCACCTCATCCTTCCACTTATTTTTCTATATATTTTATCATATTAATTATCTAATAAAAATTAATAAACTACAAAGATAATTATCCCCAACAATTATAGTCGCCGCTTCGGTCACCGCCGAGTTGGGGTGCTCGTCGAGGGAGAGACCCGTGGTGGTGTACGCGAACCGGTTGGGAATCCGTAGCTGGTGTTTGCTCCGTTTGGTCTTCCTCCAAATTTATTTCCCCGACTCTCGCCATCGACAAACTCGCCGATGAGCGTGGCCGGCTGTAAAATCTCGGCGGCGTCCTTACCCTCCCTTCGCTACGCGCCTACGCCTAAACCCAAACTCGAGAATCCGAGCCCCTCTGTTTGGGAGCGGATCGTGTCAGTAACTGATGGGTCAGTAACCCAT